CATTGCCGCTTACTTATTTGTATCTCTTCACCTCTTACCCTTTCCAAACCTCAGTCTAGTCATCTTTGGTTCAGATGGCACCCTAACGCTTCCAGATGCTCTTCTCAATTGAAATCTATCATTATATAGATCATATCACCTGAGCTCTTCAACAGTGGTTTCCAGCTATTCTTGTCCCAGACTAATCCAAGGTCCCAGTTTACTTTTAAGACCAATGCTTATTTTACCTCTGCAATGGAAATCAAACCATTATGAGTCAATCGATTCCTTAGAGAAAGCCTGAAGGTGGCAGTCAGATGGCTGCCACCTACCTTATCTCCACAGCAATAGAGAGAGACCTCCTGGGAACTCAAGCAGGTAGTTCCCTCCCTCCTTCTCCACTCCTCTGGGCAATCAAGATGTGTAAGGATTGATCTCTGTAATTTTTCCTTACCTTTTTCCTATGGTACTAGAGAGATAATTCCTTGTATGAACTTGATGTATTAAATTAAATTTCTAAGTATGTAATACTTATATTTTGTGGATAAAAGTATCCAGTAAAGCAGTTTTATGTTTGAACTTTAAATTTTGATGTTGAAATTGCAGAGGGAATTTAGGGAGGCACAATGACATAGTGGCTCAGGCACAGAAAGAAACAGGCAGTAGGGTAGTCACCTCTCCTCCTGACTTTTCCATAAAATTAGATTGAAAAAAGGATGCTGCAGTCTCTTTGGTGATCAGAAAGACCATAGTACTTTTCATAAGCACTGCAATTTTAACAAACCTCTATAGCTGCATGTAAGGAAGAGAAGAAGAATCTACCCAATCTCTTGACAATGGAAGTACTTTCAGATTGCATTTCAGAATCCCTTATTGAATCAACTTTTTTTTTAATTGCTCTTTGATCCCAGTCTTTTTCTGCACAACCCACTAACACTCCTTCTTGTATTCTGCTAACCCTATTCCAGCAGTTCAAAAGTCCTATCATACTTGTATTACAACCTTTGTGGAATACTTGTTTTCTTCAGTGAGTTCTTCAGGCTTTGACTAGAAATGAAGTGCTAATATTTACAGAGTTAATGCTGAGACTGGAGCTGAAGAGTGATTCCCTGCTTTATGTTCAGAGGATGGCTCTATGCAGTTAAAAGCAGTGGTCTCAAAGGAATAGCAGCGCAAAACTGTTTGAGACAAATCTACAATCAATAAGACCTCTTATTTGGATACTGGCAAAATATCAGTTCTTACAGCGCAGTGGATAGGATACTTTGTCACAAGAGTTTCTATGTGCAAAACATACAGATTTTTTAAATGCAAGATCTTTGAAATCACAGAGGGAAAATTCAATAAATATTTTTCTTGCATTACATAATAGCAGGTAGTTTGCCCACTGATGCAGCTATCACATACTGCAAAACACTTATTTCCTGGCAGTTAGCATCATTACCTGTGTGATTGCTCGGGCAAGCTTTTGGCTGTATACTCCTATTGTTTTGACTGATTTGGTCCTATATGATCCATGGTAACGTGTCAAGGAGACGGTGGTGTGCTATGCTTTTCTACTCTGTCTCAAATGTCCTCTTTTTCTGTGCTTTGATCAACCTTTATGTCTCTGGTAATGAATTCACAGACTAAGTGAGCTTTTGCTTTTCCTAGAAAACATTCAGATTTAAAAGGTGGAAATTTTTCTCTTCCCTCATAGTGAAAAGTGATCAATCAGTCTAAAAAAATTAAGTGGTGCTACCGGATTCTTAATTGTCTATGCCCTGATCACCTGTCATTTCTATCTCTTATTTTGTCTTCCTGCTCTTAATTGGGTACTTATTATTGTGACTATACAGAGACACCAAACCTCTGCAGTTCCACTAATAATTAAAATATTTTAACTGTTTCAGGGAAGAATGAAAACATCCACAAGAAAAAACAATTTTAAGAGAGCTGATTTTTTTTTTTTTTGAGAGCTGTTTCTCCTCTTTCTACACTTCAAGTTCTCCCTTACGTAAATAAATAATTTTTGCAGATGCCTGGCAAAATCAAATTGTAGTGACAATTTAATCTGATACATCCATCACTGGGACTGCAGTCTGTGCTTAAAGGAGAATGGACTTGCTCACCAAATAGATTTTTTGCTGTCTCCCTCTGCTATGATTATCCGCTTTATATGCCTCAATACCAATAGGAAAGGTCATCCTAGTTCAGAAAATGTTGGCTAATAACCATGTAAAGACAGAGAGTTTGCAGCAAATGCTGTCCTCCAGGTCTGAGACAACAACTTGAACCAATGCCTGGTCTGTATAGAAGAACAGATTTGTCTGAAAGAACCCAATAAACAAGAGAGTGTATATCTGAATGGACATTTCTTGAGGATATTTAAATTATTTTTGAAGGAGTTGGAGGTTCCATCTTGTGTCCAAACTGTAGCTGAAAACAGAGTTCACAGTGAGTAAATTCAGGTAAAAGCAGCATTCACTGTTTTGTGGTAGATATCCAAATTCTACTTAATTGTTATATAAAGAATTATTTGCAAGAACTCCTCCTTTAGACCCTGTGACGTAAAACTCTACCTGACACAGCACGTAAGGTGTAGGACTGTTATTTACTTGTTATGCAGTTTTTGTTATTAATTTAGTGAAATACAGTTCTCCAGGAAACTTTCCAGTAAGATGTAAAAGTATACTTCACTAAAGATGATGTAGCCACTTCTGTTGCTAGTTCTTCTTAGCAGCCCAATTTGTGATCATCTGCCCTCTCATCTCTTTCCCACCTTGTTTTCAAAACTCTGCTCCAAGCAAGAGAAATTAAATCTGAAAAATGTAGGGCAAGAAATCAGCAGGTGTTCTGTATGTCTTCGTATATGAGCATCTTAGTGGTGACTTTCCAAACTGTACAGTGGCACCAAGAAATGAA